AGGCCACAGTACAACAGAACTGGACATAGGCTGGGGTCTGAAGGCCACAGTACAGCAGAACTGTCCATAGTCTGGGGTCTGAAGGCCGCAGTTCAACAGAACTGGCCATAGTCTGGGGGCTCAGAAGGGCACAGTACAGCAGAACTGGCCGTAGTCTGGGGTCTGAAGGCCACAGTACAGCAGTACTGGCCATAGTCTGGGGTCTGAAGGCCAAACTACAACAGAACTGACCATAGTCTGGGGGCTCAGAAGGCCACAGTACAGCAGAACTGGCCATAGACTGGGGTCTGAAGGCCACAGTACAGCAGAACTGTCCATAGTCTGGGGTCTGAAGGCCGCAGTTCACCAGAACTGGCCATAGTCTGGGGTCTCAGAAGGGCACAGTACAGCAGAACTGGCCGTAGTCTGGGGTCTGAAGGCCACAGTACAACAGAACTGACCATAGTCTGGGGTCTCAGAAGGGCACAGTATAGCAGAACTGGCCATAGTCTGGGGTCTGAAGGCCGCAGTTCACCAGAACTGGCCATAGTCTGGGGTCTCAGAAGGGCACAGGACAACAGAACTGGCCATAGTCTGGGGTCTCTGAAGGCCACAGTACAACAGAACTGGCCACAGTCTGGGGTCTGAAGGCCACAGTACAACAGAACTGGCCATAGTCTGGGGTCTCTGAAGGCCACAGTACAACAGAACTGGCCACAGTCTGGGGTCTGAAGGCCACAGTACAGCAGTACTGGCCATAGTCTGGGGTCTGAAGGCCAAACTACAACAGAACTGACCATAGTCTGGGGGCTCAGAAGGCCACAGTACAGCAGAACTGGCCATAGTCTGGGGTCTGAAGGCCGCAGTTCAACAGAACTGGCCATAGTCTGGGGTCTCAGAAGGGCACAGTACAACAGAACTGGCCATAGTCTGGGGCCTGAAGGCCACAGTACAACAGAACTGGCCGTAGTCTGGGGTCTGAAGGCCACAGTACAACAGACCTGGCCATAGTCTGGGGTCTGAAAGCCACAATACAGCAGAACTGGCCATAGTCTGGGGACTGAAGGCCACAGTACAGCAGAACTGGCCATGGTCTGGGGTCTGAAGGCCACAGTACAACAGATCTGGCCATAGTCTGGGGTCTGAAGGCCATAGTACAACAGAACTGGCCGTAGTCTTGGGTCTGAAGGCCACAGTACAACAGAACTGGCAATAGTATGGGGTCTGAAGGCCACAGTACAGCAGGACTGGCCATAGTCTGGGGTCTGAAGGCCACAGTACAACAGAACTGGCCGTAGTCAGGGGTCTGAAGGCCACAGTACAGCAGAACTGGCCATAGTCTGGGGTCTGAAGGCCACAGTACAACAGAACTGACCATAGTCTGGGGTCTGAAGGCCACAGTACAGCAGAACTGGCCATAGTCTGGGGTCTGAAGGCCACAGTACAACAGAACTGGCCATAGTCTGGGGTCTGAAGGACTTCTTCAGTCCTTGATACAAAATATGTGTTTCAGCTATAAACTAATTGTGAAACCTGTGTATAATTTGACTCCTTATCAATCCTAAAAAATAAGTAAGATTAGACAGGTATACAAATACACAGGTTGAATGTGTGTCAGATCTCACAGGATATCGGAATACTTAAGGGTCAGATAATGCAGGTCTCCAATGACATTGGCTTCTAGAGATCAGCTTTATCACGAACGACAAGATCTCAAATGAAGATCTTTATTTATTTTTTATGAAATTCAAGATTAAAACTAGAAAGCATCTGTAAGAAATGAATGTCCCCTAATGGCCCTGCACCTGACCTAGAAATAGCAAGAGTGACTTTGGCATCGACCTTCAAATACCCTGAAATACTAACTAATCGTAGGTATTCCAATACTTGTCCTTTCTATAACTTCAATGAAATGAAGCTTGTAGTGTCATGGATACAAATTGCAAAGGGATGGGATGGGACAGACGTGAGTAACACTATATCTCCCCCTCCCCCTCCCCTCTTCCCTAAAAAAGCAGGGTCATACAGAAAGATCAAATATACCTATTTGTATGACCAATTTTTGATGTAACCTCATGTTGTTCTGGGAAATCAGATAAATATACTGTCACTTCAGATAAAACTTCAGGATCTGGTAGGCATCAACCAATCAAATTACAGAAATCCCAGTAGGGATCCACAAACACCGATTATTGACCTTACACATTGTTAGGTCTGAAACGATACTGGTATCATGACCTAGATTGATTTAATAACCTATTCTATATCCCTATATCAATTTAATTCTACACAATCAAATTAATGATTAGCAACAATTGATTATTGTGTAAATGAGAACTCTCTCGCCCATGAAGGCATGAAAATGACTCAGAGTAACAAGAAGTATTTATAGATCATTGTAAGCCCCATGAATCATCTGGGACCTACAAAATCAGCAGGAGTTATGATGATGGATGAAAGAGTTAAACTGATCCCATTTTTTATTCATTGACTTTTCTGGGACAGGAAGTGCAGTTTCTATGGTTACGTAAAACAGCACTGTTCACAAATACAACAACGATTAATACAACAACAGTGTTACACAATATCTGCCTTTTGCCTTATAATCACTATGGTTACCCAATGCTTTTCCTCATCATGTGACTATTCCCGAAGGTTATAACCTCCTTTTCATTTTGCCGAGATTTGTTTGTTTTTATGTGACGTAATATGAATGAACGAGTTCAGACACATAACATATCTTTTTTAGTAACTAAGTCGCAAATCAATATCAGACCCATAGTTCCAACGTAATAACATTTCAAATTCAATCTTTTCATTTTCTGACATGGCAAGGGTCCAAATCACATTATTCCTTTGAAAATATTTCAAATTACAAGACGCATCTGATTTTACAATGGCCATAGATCATAGAAAATATGATCATCTTCTCCATCCAGCTGACAAGTTATACAATGCATGACATATGCCTCCATAGGGATGAATAGATCTTGACTGAAATTATATTACAAACTGTCAACGAACGACGGGAAGAGCAGTATATTTCACTTGCAATTATCTAACCAACAATACAAATAATGTCAGGTCGCGAGGGAACCATCAGTACATTTCACCAGTAATATGTTACGCTCTGTCATTAAAATCTAACCCCATTACTCAGAGATAACTCGTACTAGATCTGTATCCACAAGTTCTGATTGAGTATATCATAAAGAGCCAATGGACACCGAGGTAACATAACTGTGACCGATTCACATCACCGATGTGTATAGTTACCTTCACTCAAATTTTAAACCATCTCAAAAATGAGAACATTAAGTTTAGCAAACAATCAAATAATTTCAGAGACATCGAATAAATATGTAAAAGAAATTGTAACTCTGCAGTTATTGTTTGAAATTTTTGTACCAGTACTGCAGTAAATTTAGTGTTTGATGTAATAAACGAACAACACTTAAACAGATTCCTTTGAAATATAGATACATCATCATTTATTTGTAGAACGGGATCTGACATGGAACAAGTAAACAGTGACACCACAACAAAGATTACTTTATCAAATTTGGTTTCACATGATAATTAAATCGAATACCTCTGCAATACAGTAAAATCTTTATCTTGATGGTGCTTGAATTCAGAATCTAATATATTTGTATTTAGAATGAGGGACTCCTGACCTAGATTCTCTGAGATGTTGCAGAAGATTCTCACGTCTTCATGCAGTGATGCTGGTACAGATATTTTAGGATGCAACACTTTCTGTAGCAATCAACAGCTAGGAGTCGAGGGAAATGTTTCGGGGTTGGTTGTCGAATCCAGACAGATAGGTAATCAATGTCCATCAACAAACTGAACTCTTCAAGTCCCTTGATCCCTAATACTACCATTTCTTGGTGTTTTTATTTTGTCATGTATCTATCACTTTGAACAAATTATCGACCCAATACAGCTACAAGGTTACACCAGGCCATGCAGTCAAAGCATGTGTTTAACAGGAAGAACAGGAAAAAAAACCCTCAAGAAACCAGACAGGAATTCAAGATGACCATTGAGATATTGAGTTTGACCTGGCCATCAACCCAGCCAGACAAAGACTGTCACAAAACACATTTTATCTTGTCCAGCTCCTAAGCCTTTTTATAACCTTCATTTCTAGAAGTACAGATGGGAATGGCAACATCAACAGCTCAGCAAAATATCAGCCACAGACCGAAACAACAAATCTATAAAACATCTCCATCTGACAATGTCTGGTTACAAATCTGTACGCCTTTCATTCTTACCAACAATGAATCATTTATAGATGTATAATATTGTTATGTTTTCCTCTTTCCATTTCCATTTCAATATGGAAATATCTGAGATTTAAGTTTATCTTGTTGTAATCAATTATATAATTAATTATGAAATATAATTTTGTTATAAATTATAAATAGATCAAACTTGATGCATCTTGGTAAAGATTAAAACACATGCCAATTTAGATGACTGTACATTTATTAAGTAGAAGATTCCTCTTCAGATAAACAATTATAAGATATATGTGGGGGAAGAACAATTGACTTTTTAAATTTTCTTTTATTCATAATTTTGTAAGGACATCATTTTATCTTCAACAAATTGAGTCAAGATAGGTGTCATATCACTATAATCACTTCAACGTCCAAAAAAAACCCCATGTATCAGGTCTCCAACAACATGGAAAACTGGATATTAATTGTTACTGTAAAAAGGAACAAGATATAAAAGACAACTTGGAGTTGACAATTTAAGAACCTTCACAGATCCAGAGCTACATGTATATAGTAACATCTTAGTAGGGAGGTAGACTTGAACACCGGCCATTTATATTGTGAAAGACGCGCACACATTAGGACAAACAATGGAGCAAAAATGAAAATGTTCTCTCTTATCTTTATAACTGATCTTTATCTAGCACCATGTAAAATTTCAGTCAACAGAGAAAAGCCATCATTCTACAGGGACAGACTAACCATTTAAAGGGAGATAACTCTGCTTACCTTTCTAGGATGTCACCCTCAAGCACCGTCTGTACTGGGAGGAAGCCAAGACGAGGATGTTTCTTAAAATGTTTCTTTGTTTTAAATTTGTTCTTTAACATCTTTGTAAAATCTCGGACATCTTCTCCTGAGGTTGTCTTGAAAGGGAAAATTGAACAATTACTTTTCTTACTCATTTATAGAATATATTAGTCCAGTTCCGAAAAAAGTCTGAAACAAGGACACCTTAATAAGAATTCAAGCACTAAAAATCTGGAAAATGTCTGGAAAAGTGTTTTTGCATTATTTCAGCTTTGCTGTGATTCTGATAATTCCTAAATGTAGTGAAAATCACATTCAAAACAAGAGTTGAACATGTTTTCATGTCTGAACACCAGATAAACAGCAAACTGTGTACTTCTCTCAACTTTAAATTATCATTGTGAAAGATGTGGCTACTATGAGCAATGAAGCAGTATACTAATTTCTTCCTTTTTAAAAAACCCACCAATTTGATGGTGTACACTTACTGCGGTACAGTATTCTTGCATAGGATGTGAAAGTTTATGGGTCTTGGCTTTCCTTCCTGAGAAAAAGCAGTTTTGGCAAACATCAAAATTAAAGCACCTAAGGCAGCGGTATCTGTAAAGGAAGAAAATGTCATATTTATAATTTCTAAGCATTTTGAGTCTTGCAGGGGAAGTAACTCTTATACATAAAGGTGGAACCTCTTTGTGACAAAAAAAGTAACACTAAAATTGATGTCCTTGTGNGGGGGGAATATAATTAAGTTTTTTTTTTTTAAATATCTTTTGACTATTTTGTTTACTCATTAGACTGGTTTGTCTTTATCTTAATGTAAACCATTTTGGGACTTAAGACTGGTGGACTTTAAGTCCATTACCAATGAGTCCACTTTAAAATTCAATTTGGAATACCAGCATGAATCACATGTAAAATATAATTCTACATTTGACTTCAAATGAACTGAGTTTTAAAAGTTTCAAATTAATGGAAGTTATTTAACCATAAATTAACCTTCAGTTTAAATTTAACAAGTTGGTTTATCTATTGAAATGCATTATTTAGTTCAAAACTGTCCTTAAGCTATAACTTACCTAAAGCCAACTATGGGAAATTCTTTACAAATATTGCACTTGGCCTGGTGTTTGGCAGTTTCGGAAGCTGCTAGACGATGAAGCACCGGAAGCCACACCAGGGACTGTGGCTCCATCTTGAGCCATTCAAGGAAATGGGTGGCTTGGATTTCTGGTCGACCGTTGGCCTGCAGATGGTATAAGGGAGACAATCAATAAAGAAACATGCAATATAAATGAAAAGAAAAATAACAGTTCAATCACATTCTGCTTACTGACTAAAAAGGGTTGTCTGTTTTTAAGATGTTAACTCATTAATGGAGATTTTACAGCAGATTTTTATCCAATATCTTTGAAAATGATTTTGACGAGGACTCAAACAATTCAGTTTCAAAGAAGTAACTACCGTAAGGATCCCTGTCCCACTGTACTGTGGTTTTTCCTATATACCATTACCTCCCCTTAACTTCCATATGGATAACACTGAACTACAGTTGTCTCGGGCTTGGAAACTTCTAATGACCAGCAGATAGCTCAGTCAGTTAGAGCGATGGTATAAAATCCCAAGTCCAGGGTTCAAATCTTGGTCTAGTTCAGCAGATATATTTACACTTTTCTTTTCTGAGTTTTCTTTTCTGAGTTTTCTTTTCAGAAATGATTGATCAAAGCTGTAAAGCAATCAGTTTCCAATACTTTGTTATGGTGATTGGCAGTGGTACAGGGATCCGTAACCCATACACCCCTAAAGTTACCTTTGAACCTTCCCAAATCAAAGACTGGGCAAGTCCATTTAAAAAATGTAGGAGTGAATAAGTTAAATATGACAACATGACAGAGCAGATCATTGAGAATACTAAGTAGGTCACCTTTTCAAAACAGCTGCGGACACTTGGTTCTATATTGCTGCCTCCAAAGGAAGCCACCTCTCCTAGCTGCCGAGGAACTTGCATGCTGTCGTGGATGAGGAGGCCGAGTCGCCGCTGGTCGGAGAAACCGTTCGTGTCTGCTATTAACCGGAACAAAACTGTGGGACAGAAAACATAAATAATGAGCAAAAAATATTTTCCATCCCACTTCAGGAATTTTCATAATTTTATACTGTAAATGCATTTTATGAACTGTGTTGTAAATTAATGTTTTATCAACTGAGATCATTTAAACAGTTTGAAAACAGGTATCATAACATGATGCACAATATTGAAAGCAGAAAGTAGTGAAAAGATGATATACTTACATCTATATTTATCATCTAAATGGCCATTACACATGAGGATGATACCAACTTTAAAGGACAACACTCGCACCTTCCCACTCCTCGCTCTGTAAACAATATAATATACATATATTCTGGCCTTCTTGCCCCTATGTTGGATAATCATTTTATAATTTGTCTGTTCAGAATTTGACACTGGGCCATATATACACTGTATGTCCATGAAAGACTGAAGATACTTTGATCATTTATGCTGTATGATACTTAGTACATATTGTTATCTTCTTTAGTACCATTACAACCTTCATGACCTTTACTGCAAGGTCACGGCTACAATTTGCCTCCCTAATGTGTTGGAATACTAGATATAGAGTGATAGGTTGGTGACAACTGTGCTAAGGTTACTTCCATAGTCATCTCCTCATTTAATCCAATAATTGGATGTCTTGAAATCGTTAAATTCAATATTGGCATAAAATGTGTAAGTGAGTAAGAACGGCCGGCCCGGGACATATCTGTGATACTTACATGTCGTAGACATTGAGCACCCAGTTAAGCACCAAATCGACACAGAGTGGAACATTGACTAGCTCCGGATGTTCCGTAGCCACGTTATCATACATAGTGGACAGACAGTTGATCATCTCTATAACGTTCATCAGACTGTCGTTACGACCCCGAAGGTTGTGATGATCAAACGCTTCCACCGCAACGTTAATGGCTAGAAGGTCCACTAAAATAAAAAATATGGAAACAATTACTGGCACTTGTATATCAAAGACAGATAACGTACAGTAATAGTAAATACCTTGACAAATAAAATTCTCAAGGATCCCTGACCCAAAGCACTGTGTTTTTTTCTATATACAGTTATCTCCCTTTAACTTCCGTTTGGCTATAACTGTATCACAGTTGGCCATGCATCTTCTGTAGACTCAGTAGCTCAATAGGTTAGAGCGATAGCATAACAATCTGAAGACCAGGGTTCGAATCACAGTCTCGCCCTACAGAATGTTTACATTTAGAACATGACTATTGTGATTTATATTCCATTTATTTTATACATTGTATCTATGATTCCTTTTCATAAATGATTTTTCAAAGCAATAATCGTGCCAAAAAAACGGTTTCCAATATTTAGTTTCAGTTTTTGGCAGTGGTACAAGGATCCTTAAATTTGACTTTAACTAAACAATGGAAATCAGCAGACTATCAGGACCACACATATATATAACAATACATTGACAACCAAACATTGATATTTGACCAAAGTGTTGTCTTGGAACAGAAATAATTCATAATTTAACACACAATTTCAATTCACAGAAGACCTGGATTTTCAGATATTGAAGTTTTCTAACTTTATGACAGGATATTGAAATGTAACTGACCAAAAAATAATCTATTGACATCTGAAAGCATTTGATATTAAGAAACAAGTATTTTCTTGACTTTGTTTAAAACGTTTCTGATTCTTTAGCTTTGATAATTGTACTTACATCGGAGCTTCTTCTGTAACATCCTGAGTTTCATGGCCGTCCTGTAGGCAGCAAATCTAATGTTGTTTAGGTCAGCTGTAAAATAAAAGTGAGAAATACACAGGTAAGACAAGCCATTCAGATTGATATGTCTCGCCTGTGCCCAGATTTGACCATCAATGCACATGTCAGTTTTGGTTGGTCTAGCACTTATAGTTTCAGAGAAACTAACTTAAATGCAAAACCTTGATGTTAATAAAAGCCGCTGCCAGAAAAGCAACACCTTAGACTCGCTTCCTGTACTTCGCTGCGACAAGATAAAAACCACAGGAGAGGAAATTAAACACAAGTGAAACTGGTACAAACTAATGTGTTAACAAAATAGTCCGAATACTAAAATATATGAGGTTCAGGGACATTTCCAGTATATGTTAAATGGAATTTGATAAAATGCATACCCTTAAGTAAAAAATAGTAAAACTATATGTGTAAAAAATTCAACTCAGATTGTAACTTGGTCAGGCTTTGTTGTGATGTAGGATGCTTACGGTGTAGTTAAATATAATGAATTAAACTGAACTTAAGTTCTGCTGTCATATAACAGACTTGTTGATGTGTTGTCATGATAAATAGCGTAACTTACTAAACATACTGATGATACTGATTTAGCAATATAAGAGATACATAAGGTTTGTTTGACGATCAATACTTAATGGATCAACAACACTATGAGGTCAAACAGGGCTATGCATTAAACAATAAACCAAATTTTGTTTATGCATGGTAGAAAAGGGACAGATGAATACCCAAGCACAGGTTTTTGTACATGTAATAGGATCATGCAATCAATTTTTGAGTTTTTATTGTATCGGTACAAGGAAGAAAAGACACAGAAGAAAACCTACACTTCTACAGGACATAAGTCACCTCTTACAATCAGGTAGTGGGATAAGGTTACACATTTTGATGACTTGTCCGGGGGGGGGGGATCCCTGTTCCCATAGATTTTATGTCATCAGGAGATGAAATTCTGTGGGAAGAGAGATAACTCTTTCCAACTCTACAACACAGTGTTCCGCTTACCTAAGGCTTGCATAAGGTCGGTCATCATCGGATGGTCCCAGTGTGTAGTTTCTGTTGTATGACTGGAAAATAACATAATCAATTAGGAAGAATTAAGACTTTGATGATATCGCATGTTGAACTTCTCTTATATCTCAACATTATCAAAAGTTTTGAACTTTTAGTATTAATATTCTTCCTCATCTGTATTAATTAAGAGTCTGTTTACACATACTGGACTTTGTTTTTTAATAACAACCTTCGTTTTGTGAAATAATCACTGAAAATGGGTGTCATATATATGATAGCAAATATTGTTGGTAAAATATTATGTACAATACAGCTTCAAGATAATAATTTTAAGATTACGGAACTTTGATAGTAATGTATGACTTACTTGATATAATAAGGCACTTTGTTACCAGATACCGCTCGTTCCCACGGCTGTTCTACTGACACTGTAAGTACACAAACAAAACAGGATCCTGTAACCACCATCTCAGTTTGTAACAAACAAATTAGTAACAACAATACGATCGGAATATTGACACAGTTTAAGGTACGTATAGTATCTATGTAGACATACTAGAGTCTATATCAGTCCAGTAACCTTGGTTTTTCCCCAGGTACATCGTACAGTAAAGGTGAGACTGACCAGAACTACTGACACGGTCACGATTCCATACACTAGACTTATAAGAATGATTCAGACTCCACAGACCACATTGCCCTTCGTCTGATAAGCGTTCACCTAATGGATCCGATTTAACACGATCTATGCATTAAGACTTAATCACCTAGATGATTCAATTTTTATCACAGATACCTAAATATTTAAAACTTGTTTCAAACATATAACTATTAATGACATTTTCTTTTTCCAAAAATCTTGTTTAAAACAAATAATTTTGAACACACATAAGTTTGTTAACAGCTAGTTCATAATCATTATTGAGTAAAAAACGATAATGGTGAATAAGAATAATATATATCTACCCAATTATAATCATCCGGATAATTTTATGAATTTAACAACAAAAAGGATGTTGTGTTGCACACCTGATGATGATAGGAAAACATAGGTTTGAATCAAATCGCATCATCTCCCTTTGTGTATGATTGACAATGAGTTATTCCCCTTGATAGTTTGCCAGATAAAAAAATGCTCAATTGTGTTAGCTACAAAGACGCCATGCCAGTCAATTAACGGGAGTAATTTATATAATCAATGGTATTTTTTGCATTTTTAATTTAATTTTCCTTTTCACTATTATCTATCTCTCTGTGAAGTTTCGGAACCTTCATCTCCGAACAGTAAATGAAGACATAGACAGTGGAAGGGTGAACTGGTGTAGTGTAGTATTTGGAAAGCTCCCAACAGTTGTGTAATCCTCAGAAAGGGGTCGCTGATCTGTACCACATCCTCGGGGAAACAATAATAACACAATCCCACAATCTTCTCTAGAAACACATACACGCTTCATCATTTCATACGAATGCATGCAGATTTATGTAATGAAAATTTTACCCATGAACAAATGTACAGATCCTCTATTGATTTTGGAATCAGCATCAAGAAGGCTGGGGCAAATATGCTTTCATGTTTGAAAGAATTTAAAGTAGTTTTTTACTCCGTACAAACTATGGATTATTTATGCAGCTTTAGGAAAATGTCTGGCATCTGTCAGCAGTTACTGACGAGGAACATAGGGATCAAAGTCTGTGGCAAAATGTAACGCCATTAGTCACCTCATCTAGGGCGTCTTATCTTTTTTTTTCTTTTCTTATCTTTTTTTTCTTCTTTTCTTTTTCGATAGCACAGCATGCTTGACAATGTTCTGCTCAGAAGGAGAAGACAATTCGGTTTGTTCAGGGGCGTGTTATGCTTTACTTATGATGTCTTGCTTTCACTGCAGTGGCCTTTGTGTTATTGTATCTGAATAATGACATAACATGTAAAAGTTGATGAAAACTAAAGCATGTCTCTGCAGGATCTTTATCAGTTACCCTGTCACTGATGTTGGTAATGTGTGCTATTACTGTCATCTTTCAGATCATGTTTAACTGAAGCATGAAAACAGGATGGCGGGAGGCAGCTAGGGACATTCCATAAGTAGTGATAGTTGCAGAATATGATGGGGAGAAACGAAATGGAAGGGTGGGGGAGTAAGGATTCTTTCATGGGCAGCCCATTGGGGTGGGGGAAGAGTTGAGATGAAGGGGAAGGGGTAGAGTGAGGGAAGACCTTGGTGATGGGACTAAATTGTAGGGGGGATGGGAGGTTTCTTTATATAATAAAGGATATAATAATGGAACTTTAGTGATGTTTCTAGGATGTGGAGGGCGAGACATTAATAAGCATGGAGTTTGGGTATTATATAATTATAAGCTAACAATAGAATTCCTGCGTGAAGTTAAGATGTATCAAAATGCCTGCGGTGGCACCAGGATAGCCTGGAGGTAGGGATTCCTGATAGGGTCTCACCGACAACAGTACACATCTACACCAACTATGTAAACAATTATTGTCAATTACTCAGGCCTATCTGGTGATAACAACTCCAGCTGACAGCGAAATATATCTGGCAAAACAAAACATCTGTCCCACAATTATCTTAACACCAAAAACGTTTTCGCTCTGTAATCGAAATACCTCCCCCAACCATACAAACATGTCTGGTGTGCTAACATATGTAGTTCATATATCTACAAGTACATGATCTTCAATCGCTTGTAAGCCACTTAAACTCTATTCAGACAAGGATCTTTCACCCCGTAAAAATTAGTACGGTTTTCGAAAAAGTTAGGATGCCTGGAAAGAAACACATTTATGCATTAATGTTGTCACTATGATTGTTTGTAGTTAACACATACAATGATGATTAATTTCAATTTGTAGATTAGTTTTGTGTTTGGAAATTTTCCAAATATACCAAGCATATAAAGGAGGATGCACAGTAGTGAAGTGCTGTTTGCCAACATTTTATTGTAACAGTTTTAGCTATTAATTTCTTTGAAACTGCTATTATATAAGTTTATATTTCCTTTTACTGTCTTTAATTTAACATGTATGAAACATAATTTTATCACATCACAAAATTTAGGCTTCAAAAGCCCTATAATTTATGATTCACACTAAAATTGGTTATAAGTGTACAATATAATTGGTATACTATGTAGGTATCTCTTATTTATATATAACAGATTATTTTGTAACCTTGACCTTGACATTTCTTATCACATAATACCTAGTATCATGTATTTGTACATATAAATAGAAAATTAATGTAAATATGCATTAAACATCAGACAACTACACAATTATTAGATAAAAACATTAGATATCTCAGTATTTACAGAACTGCCTTGTGTCATTGTCCATCGTGTGTGTACTTTTGACCCCCTTTTCATCTCCTCCTATATTCCCAGGATCAGCAACAGGGATGACCCTGGTAACCATAGCAACTGACCTTGAGGCGGTTAGGAGATAAGTGGTCAAAGAACCAGATGCATTGTCTGACCATGCACGGTCCATATGACAGATGTACAGAATTGTTTTTTTTAATTGACAGATAGCTTTGTGAATGGATAATGTCAGGAACATGCATGCTCCCATTGGTTGACATACAGAGAACTTCAGTTTCACAACAGGATAGGCCTGCAGGCTTCCCAGGGCAACAACCTTACTGTGACCTTCATAAACGAAATGCAATTACCAGACTGGTCAATTATTTGTTTTCCATAATATTTCAATAATTTTTCTGTGGTCAAACAGTTAAGGACCTTTAGGAACGTTGACCCACGTACCACACACGGTGGCAATAGGCCTAGGCCCCACAGAAGATTATCCAAAGGCATAAGCATGCTTATGAATCTTAGACAAAGTACTTCATAATATTTAAAAACATATTAACAAATACCAGTACTGAGTTTACAAAAACAAGTAACAAAGAAAAAGAGGACAAAGTAGGATATTTATAATAATACTATTAACATACATGTATCTTTCAATATATAAATTGTCCCCAAAAACTTTCTATTCTAATAGATATACTTTCATGCTTTTTCTCCCAGCAGTGATAACCTTAATTGAATCTGAGTTTTTTTATTATTTACTTATTGTATTTTCAACAATTATGAAAATACCAAAAAGGTTTGCATAGTCTAATCATAGCTGATAAAGTTTCATACTACATCTAGTGGACCTGTGACTAAACACGGTCTGCATGCTGCTCGGTTGTTTTTACTTTTGTCAAGACTGATAATAGAAGGTAATTTCTACTAGATTACATCAAACTCATCTACAAAAATAGTCATATTAAAAGGAAGTTTCCTGAATGTTTAAATCTGTGATCCAAACAATGAAAATCAACTCACCACACAAAACAGCAACAAAGTATCGAACATTCTCGGCCAGATACAAGCTAGCCGGTACAAAGTTAGACAACTGTAATTAGGGTGGATCTACCTAGGGTCTTACCTTCAGCTGATACATCAGACCTGAGCACCCAGACAGTCATTGTCTTTGTAGGTAATTTATTACCTAAGATTTTACAGGTGAGTACCTTTAGTGATGGATATACCTGAACCACAGGTATGTCTGCACACACATACGTGCAGGTGTGCATAGGTAACTTAACGACTGGTCTACAACAGGTAACGGACTGTCCACTGTCTATATAAGTACCACTTAATTGTCCTCAACTCTTCAGAGATAACACAAACTGGTTCTGGTGCAAGAAACTAAGGTCAGGCAAACCTCTAGAGTGTCAGGCGAAACAATTCTCACCTGACCATTAACTTAAACTTGTGAAATCAAACCATATACCTCTGGCTTTGAAATGTGTACCTATATCTCAAAATATTACAGGCAGGCAGTCCTACCTGTACAGGTAATGATTAAGGCCCAGACATTTTGTCAAAACTGCAACAACTAGGTCATCTGGGGTTATCTCCAATAACTTTCAACATACATGCACCTGTGTTCAATAGTTTTTCAGTGGGACAGGAAATGCCTCTGGCGGTAAATTGGGTTACACCAGACGGTGCACCTTTACCTAGCTGTCAAGTATCAAAATGTAATTATTTTGCCCTAGGCGGCTAAGGCCTTCAATCTTCAGGCCATGTATACAGGTTTACAATTTTTTAATGGGAGTGAAAAACAAACTTTAAAGGTCAAGGTCACAAAAATTAGAAGATAATGATCACCCTGAAAAACATCTGTATAGAAACTAGACTCCCTATAAGTATTAAAGTACAAATAAATGTCTGCCTATAACGAGGACAATGGACAAACAGATCATGTCCTTGACCTTCGAATGTCTGGAAACTGGCATAATGGCATGCTCATATAGAACAATGCTAAACCCATTGGACTCTTGACGTGCATAGTATCACATGTATTATTAAAATTGTATTCAATTTCAAAATATTCCAATGGAATAAATCATTGTATGCATATAATTCCAGCTGAAGGATGTAATATAAATCTGAATTATGATGCACAGAATTCATTAAGAGGCGTCAGGAGGGCTGTATAATTGAACTTAATTATGGAATGAATAATTCATTTCTTACCTTATACATGTACCAATATAATAAAACCACTTGAAACCTTCACGAAAACTGGCTATACGTATATCCCAACATTATTCAGGCAATATAGATATGAATGCATGTGGTCTATAAATCTCCATGTTTGATAGCTTATAATTCCACCCCTCAAACTGCATGCGTAGGTAAAACCACCTATACACACCTAACGTTTCAACACAAGACTTAAACCAAAGTTTAAACAAAGACCAAACAACTAAATTATTTACACCTATAAATTCAATGAAGCAATATCTGTAATAAAAAATAGCCACGGTCTACAGAACAAAGATAACACGTTGAAGATTTTATTTCCTGCTGACCTGTTTGACCTGAAAACCATAGTTAGTGTGAAATCAAGCACTGCAAGTTCTATAAGGCTATAATCGGGTGACTAAACTTTCTTTCAAACCAAAAACTTACACGAAACTTTGTCTGGCTCGAACAATGATTTAAGTCAGTGCGATATCAGTTCGTGTTTATTGTATTCATCAAAACTCAATACACTGGAACAATCTTTTTCAATTTATAACATGGAAAGGCCATATAAAACTGTTATCCTGTCGTCTGCTCGGGGGAAATCAACGGCAATAAAATTGAATGTCACAGTGCTTGCAAATTTTCAATGATATACATTATAAGGCAGTAAGTAACAAGTACAACTAAACAGTTACATCGAATGTCTGGTTTCCTGTCTGTTGTCTGACTGTAAAACCTGTTTATAGTGGAAAAAACCCAGGGACCAGTATATTCATTCGGAATTGACAGGTTTCCTGAATGCAATAAAAGTTCAGTTTACATAGAGATATATTCTGTACATACAGTGGGACCTAGTTTTGTTTAAGTGACTGTTTTATGCAGCTTTTTCGATTAAATAAGTTTTATATCTATTTATTACAGCAAAACATCTATTGAAATGTTTATATGGTCTGAACACAAAACCTGATAAGCTTAATCACAGGTGCTTTTATTAAGGCCAGAAAATCTTTCATTAATTAGTTTTAAAAAAATAATGCATTTGAAATTCATTACTTTAAATGTATGTTAAGTTATCTAAAAAATTAACACCAATAAAAATCCTGAAAACGATTCTTATATACAAATAAAAGCTTTACATGTTTTTTCTCGTTAGGTAAGATGGAAAAAAAATGTTCCAAAATTTGTTTCGGAAACAAAATGTCAGGATTACATAATGTATCAAGGTTGTCATTTGCCAATACACATTGTACCACCAGCAGCAGAGTGCTATTGCTATAATAAAGCCATTTTCACGCATTTTCATAACAAATCTTGTACCCGTGTCCCATGAATCTGTAAGTCTTGGATCTAATTACACTATTTTATATAACAATGTCAGTTATAGTAAGCAGTGAGCATATTCATAGACCTTAAAATATCGCATGAAATCAGATATACAGAGCAATCTATTTCTGTTAGCGAGCTGCACACAAATCACTTGCATTATTTATAATGAAGAGTCTATGAGGCATTGATTTTACAAAATTTGCAAATCAAATTTACATTTAGTTCACAAATTTATTCCTAAAGTTTGTGGTCTGGAAGGCAATCCTTTCGATAAATTGAGTTATTGCTAATATTTACTTCTTTTTGTGTACATGCAAGTCTGTTTTTTGCTTAACATACTTTCTGAAATGTTTTTGAGGTCCCTGATTTTTTGGAACTATTAACAAGTTCTGCTTTGAATTTGTTTGCTGTAATTTCTTTTCCCGGGGTTCCAAATTTTCCTGAAATCTGCTCTATAATCTTAGTCTCCATACCTGAGAGGAAGTGTTGTGAATCGGGGCCAAAGTCCCGAAGAGCTTCTTGTAGGTCTCTAAGGCGATCCTCCACAGCAATCTGTAATTCCTGCCACCGAGTGTTGTAGTCCTCCAGTCTGTGGACGTTGACATGGTTGAGTATTACTTTGAGGTTTTGGAGTTTGTTTGCGCGGTCGTTAACAGTGTCCACCTGACCTTGGATAGGTGCGTAGGTCTTCTGATATGCCTGTATGCAGCAAAACTTCCGTAAATATATGTACTTTCATTTTTAGTAGTTTGCAAAATGTTACGCTTTTTTTGAATAAATATGGAGCAAACGTTTTGGTATTAAATTATACAATTAATGTGCAAAAAGAACAACTTTTCTCCATTTCCTTTAAGGAAAGATTCAGTAGAACACACAATATGTAGTAAAAATTTCCTTTCGGCTTTAAAACAAATTTGACCAATATCATCATTATCAATGAATTCATTTTCTACCTTACTCAAGTAGCTTGTTCTCGAGAAATATCACCTTCATATTAAACTTAATCGGTCTGAAAGCTCCAATTAGAGTTATGTCCCCTAGCTACCTCCGTGATGCAAAACTGTGAGCTATAACAATATATAATAAGACAGAAGGTGATTCTTACTTTTATTTTTTCTATTTCTGCAGGTAGATTTTCTATAATCATGTCTGATATTGGTGGCCATTTTGTTTTTTCCTGTTCCGCTTCCCTGAGTCTACTGTTAAGATTTTCTAATCCATCTTGTAGTACTACCATTTTCTGTAAAGGAAATGATGCAAAATATGTTAAATCTATAAGCCTTCCATTTTCTGTACATCTGAAATTGAATTCTTTACTTTTTCAATTGAATTTGACCACTTTAGCATCATGTACAACATTTATTTTCTACCTTACTCAAACAGCTTGTTCTCGAGAAATATGACCTTCATATTAACCTTAATTGGTCTGAAAGCTCCTATTAGAGTTATGTCCCCTACCTCCGTGACGTCCTCTATCCTAGCCTGCCACTCATTACATCCTTGGTTAATTTCCACCCATTTCCTGTTGAGCAGTCTCACTTGACGACGGATTTTCTTTATTAAATGGCGAGCCTCTTTCTCGGGTGATGTTTCCGTAGGCGGTACTTCCTCTGAAAACAGGAAGTCAATTATGAGTTATCGTCATGCCCGCCATTAGCAACATCTGGACAATGTTTAAAAGATGAGTGTTTTCTATCATTTGGGATTAATTGATAACAGAGAGGATGATACCAGATGTTAACAAGTGAAATAATTCATCACTTGACCCAGTTTTTTTTTTTTTATAAGAGGCATTTTCCGTTATTGAATATCTGATAAGGCATAATTTTTAACATTATTCTAATAATAATGAAACTTTCAATAATGTTAACCACTTTTGATCAATTGAAAAATATTAATGGGGACCTAAATATTTCAAATTCAGGAAAATGAAATTGTGATTATTTATGCCAAGTGATTTTTTATTCATCTGTTTCCTAAAGCCTTTATTTATTATTTGGATAAATCTCGAACTTTCTCGAAAACAACCCATTGCATCAGCATCACAAGGCAAGCTGTTTCAGTTGGTATCTGCCCAGATAAACAAACAGACAACCTACCATGTTCACTACTTTCCCCACTATCTGTACTGAGTCGCTTGTCTTCTCCCTCCTCTCTCAGGTAGTGACGCCCTGCTTCCAGACTCTGCTCTATGATTGGTCGCTTTGTGTCCAACTGTCGTCGTAATCTCTGATGATGAAATGGAAAGAGCGTTATTACTGTGCTGACAACAAAACATGTCCTGGTTTCAGTTACACACAATGTTCTACCATATCCATGCTGTCCCTTGGGGAAATACAGATATTTAACAGATAAGATTCCCTATGTGTGAATTAAAACAAAGATATGGTGTGACATATCAATAATGAAAATGATATCACATTCACCGATTACCTTCCCTGAATTTATTAAATAGAAAATCAATTCCCTATTAATCTTGTACCTGTAAAGGTATACTCAGCTTTTGATTTAAACATATTGTGTGTAGACTTAAGGATATATGCTAGCTTATTGTGATATGAATCTCTTTTACATAAGAAATCCACATTCATAAGTAACTTGAAAAATATTTTTGATGAAATTCAAAATGCCAATTTGGTCTTAATTAATAACTAGATACCACATTGAGCGGTACATTAAAATTACAAAATATCAAAATTAACAATTTAGGGAGATAGCCCTAACACTTATCACAGGAATACTGTGTAAGGGAGATAACTCTAATCTTAATCATTGGGTTAGCACATTGCCTAGCATTTTATCCATAAACTATTGACCACATTAAACAAAATGTCTGATATTATTGATTTTCTTAAAGTTTGTTGTAAGGTTGGAGAAAGCCTTCTGTTGGAAACTTAAGTTGCTGCAACTGCTCAAATTATTTTGATTTAGTGGCTTAAGTAGCAACATACCCTGTTTTCCTCGCTTTGATTTTGGAGAGTTAAAAGGTCCCCTCCAATTGGTCGTTGTTTGTGAAGTTCTTGCTGTTTGGTCAATAGCCAGCCAATCAGATCCTGTAGTGTATTTACTAGGTGGAGCCATTGTTCTGCATTACTTTCGAGTCTACCCCTGAAATTAATAACAACAAATATCAAAATTTCATCAAATTAAATATTGAAACTATCTCATTTTAAAGTAAACCCTATGCATAAAGCGATGATGATGATTGTTTAAAAAACATTGGACGAAACAGAAAATAACTATCTAAAACATTAAAAGTTCCTGTAAAACAACAAACAGTCAGGTAAAAAAACAGAAAAAACCTCTACAAGACAAAAAAAATCAGTATACACAAAAGACCTGCAGTATTTGTCCCATAAATAATGTTGTTTCACTAACATAATCGATGCTTATTGTGAAATTGTTTTTTCATTCTGACTACAGCAGATAAAAACAGCTTGACCAGAACTGTGAGCTTACATATGCCCCAGAACCCCCTCGTTAAACCCAACAAGGCCCCCGAGTGGACATCAATATCACACCAGCACACCTGATTACCCATGTTTATTTCTATGATTCAGCAATGTAGTTTTTTTGTTAGACTGACCAGTGCACACGTTTTTTCTTGCGTCTCCGGCCTGAGTCAGTCTGGCCGTTGGACACTATTGATCTAACCGTCCAGTCTCTGCGGTGGCCGACAAGTGCAATGAAGTGGACAGTGCCGGGTCGTGGGATAAACCCATTGTTTCTTCCCACCAGAGCTACGTATCTCATTTTGAATGACAGCGGCAGTCACACAATCCAATCTGTTGATTGTACCCGCGTAATGACACTCATATCCAGCAAAAACGATCACAGTGTAGCATTAACAGATAAGGTCTCAATATATCCAACCAATTGAACCTTTTGAACCGCAGATTTAAAATAAAAAATTAGGTTTAAAATCCAGTAAAACTAATCCTGTTATTTGATACAAGATATTGAGATAATCCACGTAGAACTTTCTTATGCAGATTGATAATCATTTAATTAATTAATCCACAACTTGGAAGAAGATCCCACAAACAAAACGATAAACTTGATATCCTTATAAACCAGATCTGCAGTAACCTAGCTTCTCCAACACTATGTAAAATGTCTGTTTTAGATCCCTGACAACTGTTGTTATATCCTTTGACAGGTGGAGAAGATAAATCACAACCCTTCTGTACAAACAGCCTAACACTCTGTGTCGAACACAATTTCTGACTCCTTAATGACGACATCTGAAGGTTTGCGCATGACACTGCAACATCGTCACCGTCTTAAGGACACCTCGACTCTTACAGGACCATCAAACGATTTGTAGGTAAAAGCTGTGTATGTACATACAGTTATGATTCATGCCCTATTGCTTATTCACAATATGTAAATTAAGGCAGATTTGAGCATTCGCTCTGACGACAGTACTATCTGGGGTATTTCCATTAATTATGTACACACATTAGAGGAGTTAACTTAGTGAAGTCTTTATGTGGGAGAAACAAAACCCAGATTAATACACATCCTTGATAACATAGCAGTTCAGGTCACTACTATCTGGCCTGGGCCTGAGTCTGACCCCTCTCCATACCACGTAATTAGCCCATATCTTAATAACTAGGGTGTACCCTAATAAGCCCTAAATTAATACCACATTTGGAGCCGAGTCAACATCAATGGAATATTCCATTATGACCTGCTCAATGCCAAAAATTAACATTGTATATGGAAGAAAATTGAAAATGAGAGTACAACATTGTTATCAAGTCTTTGACCTCTCCCATGCATTCCCTGTTAAAACTGCACTAAATGAATGTTAAGAAAGAAATCTGTACTCTTTAACATATTTCTGTAAATGTTTTCTGCCTCAGGTGTATATTCAAATTACACCTAATATTTGTGTGACTTTACCTGCCAGAGTAAATCATTTCAATCAAGCCCTGAAATTTTATTAAATTGTATACGTAATATTTCCTTCTGAGCTGTCAACGCTGTGATGAATTGGTCAATGTCAAGCTCCCCAGTGACAAGGACACATGTGTAAGCGATCAGACTTTGATATTATTTTTATTGAATGGAGGCTTTCAGTTAAGTAAAACACTTTCACGTTTTACTTTAACTTTGATGTGCACAATTACTTATCAGTAAATAAATTACACAAGTATATCTGTAAGTACTGTAATTATCCTAACATGGTACATTACGCAACATGCCGCAAGTGTATATTTAGGTACTATATATTGTATTTATCCTAATAAAACACTTAACATATACAATTCTACTATACATAACATACCATGTTTATGCTAATAAGATACTGCATAGATGCATCACAGATATAACAACTTTTTACATTTTCTGTATCGTATTTATCCTAACAAAACAAGAACAGCTGCCATATAGTGCTAGACAAAAGTTTAGACATTTTTGTAAAATTAAACAAATTTTAAAGGTTTTTTCTCTCGTAATTTTCTTAGTCATTCTAGGAGAAAATTTAAGTCTGATATTACTCCTATGAGACAGAGTTGGGAGACAGAGTTGGGACAAAGGGTAGTAAAAATCATGATGCTATTTCCAAGTAAGAACACGCCATACTTTTGAATTAATCACATGGCAAACAATGCACTTTCGCTTGTGATGGATAACTAAATTCAAACTTCTCGATTTTAGTGTATTGATTTGACGCAACTTTATTTAAATGATAATGTGTTGTATCTGATTAAGCTATACATTATAAATGCTGTTAGTTGATACACAGGGAAGACAAACATGGCAGGTGGAAAGCATGACAAATCAATATATAATTAAAATAAAATGATGAAAATATTCATCATCACGTACATGGATAATACGAAACACATACAATACTTGTAAATTCTATGCATAGTGTATGAGTTTAAAACCAAGTTTCCTTAGATTGTGAATTCTACACGAATGAACATCTTGCACTTTAACAAATCTTTGTTATAATAACACACAATTATTCCCCAATTCCCACAGGAACAGCATGATCGCTTTGGTCTTTGACCTTGACCTTTGACTTGTAAAACTTACCAGATTTATAGATAAAGAAAGACAACTCTATTTTCAATTTTCACATATTAATGAAAAATAGGGACAAGTAATATACAAAGAAAATGATCTTGAATAAAAATGTAACAAGGTAACAATAATCTTCATATTATTAAAAAAAAATGTTTACACTGTAGCAAAAAATATTTTTCTTCAAACAAAGTATTTCAAATGGTCTTGTGATTACTTTTAAAACCTGGTTCAGGTATAATCCTGAAACCTTTGCCTGTCTCTGATAAGTTTAGTTTGCTTTGAAATAGTTTATTTTTCTGCTGAATTATATGCACGTGGTATTTGTAATTCACATCTTCCATATTTTTAGTCCAAGCACTTTCTATATTCAATTGTACAAACCTGAACATGCCTTCCCATCTACATCGAAGGGTAACTAACAACTGACTGACAGTCTTTTCCACTCCCTCATTCACCTGCTCATGATCTCCTTTGCTATACCTCCTAAATACCACCCCCATGTACCCTCTTTCATAACCCCACTAGGTACTCCCATTTATAACCCCACAGGGTACATCTATCCATATATCATACCCAAAACCATATTTTGTGCAGATGGTTGCCATTTTTTAGAATTCAATTGTTTGTATTTATCCCTACTTCCATAAACATTACATGTTAAATAAAACTAACTACCTTATTTCCATGGACTTTGTCATCAGGTTGATCCATCGCTGGTTCATCTCCTCCAGACGCCGGTGCAGTTTCTGTGCGTCGGTCGCCACCATGTTGCGGGCCAGTTGATTCCCAGCAGAGTTGAGTGAGTCGTACGTACTCTTATTGGCATCAACTTCTGCCTGAAGATCCTGTAATGACACAAACACATTGAAATATTACTCACAGCTAACTGTTATTTTTTTTTTTTACTTTTTAAATATTTTCCCTTCGTAGTTTTTCTATCAAAACCCCTACCTGCATAATTCCCCGTACTGTCAGACAAAATTATTTTTTATCAGTCTAAAATCTGTTACTAATGTCAACATCACCATCTGTGGTTTAAGACACAAACTATTATCACAAAAATTAAGACACCTCAACATAAAGACTTATAATTTAACATACAGTATGTAGAAGATGATGTAGAAGAATACCAAAACCAGGGGAGGTAACTCAGAATGGTAAACCAAAGAGAAGTGAATAGGTTTTAATTCAATTTACTTTTGGAAGTAAATAACACAGAAGTTCTGACCCAATAAAGTGTGAAGGTAATGAATCACAGTTAATGGTCGATAAACTGGGAAATAAATATCTGGCCAGTCTACATCTCGAGCTGTCATGGTGGCAATAAACAGCCTCGCTCTGATGACAGCGTGTGACACAGCCGTAAGCGGCATCCCATGATGGATCCCTCGGTGGCCACTCCAGGAGACAGGACACACAGCCTCCGGTGGCCACTCCAGGAGACAGGACACACAGCCTCCGGACCACATGGACAGATAATGGATGGCATTGATGGTCAGTGATTGCATTCCCCCCCCCCCCCTAAAATGGTCACTACTCATCCTCAGCATAATGGATTTGTTCAGGGAGATAATAATGATCACAGCAGAAATCAAACATGAACCCAAGATTTTTTATTCAGCACCGGGGATGTCAGATGAATCTTTAGGACCTAATAGCAATGACCTCAACACCAGAAAGTATATAAAACCTACGGAAGCGATTGGTCTATCATTAAAGAATACCGATCATTAAAGAACAGTTGCTGCTTGCTGTCCTCAATTAATAGCTGGCTATAGCTTTCTAAATGTTATCAGCATTCATACAGACTAACATTATTGCCAAGAAAGACCGAATCGTTATCAATACGAGCAGACTTCCCAAGGATTCCGTGGGAGTATATATATTGGCATTGCCTATCACTGAGGTAAAAAGGCAGCTGCAGTTCAAACTAATTAGGATCAACGTTTGTTAGTGTGAAGTAACGATCTGAATCTATATCAGTTATTGAAATTGAAAACAAAAGTTGAGCATCTTCAAGTAGGTACTTTTGAAAAATTCGAATTAAATTCAATCACCTGAAAGTGTAATTAAACCGATGAATCTTTCAGATAAGTTTGGATCCTGGCCAACAGTTTCAGCCAACAGTTTCAAAGCTTCTTTATATTAACAAGGATGTCCTACAAATCGCCTCCTCCTAGTAAGGTCAGACTTGGGTTTGATTGGTGGGTAATTCTTCACACCACCGAAAACTCAAGAAATGTACACGCTTTAACTGAAAGTCTTTTCAAATACAAACAAAAACTGTCTGGTTTATTAGAGAGGTTTTTAAGACACCTCATTACACAAACTTTTCTTTGTATATCTTCAACTAATGAACTCAATTTGAAGCCAAATAGTTAGCGATAAAGATTATCTCCATAAATTGAAAGTACAGCATTAATTGCCAAGTTGTTTATTTTCTGTAATTGTTGACAACATACCATGTTTTACTTATCAGCTAAACAGGTGTATACATACAAGCTTTAAACATGAAATATCTTTCAGGATGTTCAAAAAAAAAGGTAATTGCAGTAAAATTGATTGTGCAATTATATGATTTTTCTGTAATTCTGAATATTTGCAACATTTGGTGATGTAACAGTGAAAGAACATGCTACAAGAATGACCCGCTCTCAGGGATGCTGGGATTATAATTATATATTTAAAGCTTGGAGATTTTGTGTAGGTCCAGTCAAATAGCTAGACATAATGCAATATAGAAAGGACACTAGATGTTGGCTTACACAATTGTATTGCATTGTCAAAAATAAACTGTTATCATTTCCCTCAAAATTGAATTTGTTGGAAGATGTTCTTTTTGAACGAATATTATTTTGAAAAGGCTGGCATAGTATATAAGTTTCTACTACAGTGATGCTGAAATAAAACTCTAATTTTGCTGGATGGTCTGGATTCCCTTTAAAACATTGCTGTAATCTAATGGAATTCCTTTTCTTTCTATCGTAGTAGATGCTTATTTACCGTTTTCTTAACAATGTTGCTTGGTACATGTGAACAAATATGTGCTTTTAATTAACCTCCTTTGATGAGGAGCCGAAGGAAACAATAACCACAAATTACATTCTATATATCCACAGAGCTTGGAACATTGATACATACACCAGCTAGGCAAATAATGGCTGAGGATATCAGCTGGGAATCCTAGAGCAAGAATGGCCCAAACTCAATCAGCAAACAACCCTTTGTAAAGCATTCTGATCCATGCTGTCAATCACCATGGAGAAGTCAAGAGTTGTTAGCTGGGATAAGAAAGACCCAGACAAGTGTTTCGGACACTTGAATTCTGAAGAGACCATATCATTGAGGAAATATGGAGATTGCATGATCTTATTACCAGTAATTCAGCAACATAATTACATCAAAATTTCAAAGCTAAAACATCTATTTTTTTCTGTTTTGAAGGATGTTGTTGCTTCTATTTTGGTCGGAGGAAATTTGTATTCAGAGACACCAGAACAATGACTTCGTGTCAAACTATCACTGCCTGCTCATTCCCCGGGCCCCTAATACCACGACAAAAGTCATTGTTACGGCGCGGAATCCCTCATTTGTTACAGGTGATTGTGTAGCATTGATATTCTAATCAGATGTCATAACAAAATGGCAAACAAGAAAGTCAAATGACCTGAGACATTCCATCTTAGGGACGATGTGACACATTCATTAGTCGCAGCATCCGATCCCTCCTCTATTGCCACCGATACGGACAAATATCAATACTGTTGCGTGCACTGCTGGTTAAAACAATTTAACCTGATCATATCTGTACCCTCCCATCAACTGCTATACCAAGGAGCCACAGCCAGCATGACTGGTGATTTCAAGTATAAGAAGGGTGCACAAGTCGTCGTCGACTTTAGAATGGAGGAGTGAATTATCCTCTCAAGATTTCTTAATGCCTTTGGGACACCATCATTTCTGATTAGACAGACAGGGTGACAAATTCTCAAGAAGTCACGGAATCAATGTGAAGTACGATCCGTCATTGAATTTATTAATGGGTTATGTAATGAGAAATCTCCCCTTCCAGTTCCCTCTTTAAATGACAAATTTTAAATAACCCCGAATGTTTCTAATAATAGTTCTGATAGTGACAAATTCTCAAGTGGTGGTTGACATCTTAAAAGTACAACCTGTCAATGAATTTATTAATGAATTATGTTACAAATTGCTCCATTTTTTAAATTTATCATTTTCTAATAATTCCAAATTTCTCACGTATTATTGAAGAACATTTTCTAATATATGTACTTTTGTGATGTGTCATCAACTAACAATGGAACTCTTTTGTAAATTAAGAATTTACACATCCTTCAATCGTGATAAAGAAGTAAAACCAAGCCTATTCTGATATATTTAGGACTTGGAAAACATCAGTTCTGTTATCAAAGAGATGTAACATGTTCTCAAGTCTATTAATGAACAAGTTGTCATGACATTATCATGATTGAATCTTAGATTAGAATTACACTGAAACAGTTAATTGTCTTTTCTGCCATCAACCCATGATGAAAACCACTTTTTTATGACAAAGAGAGAAAGAAAGGCAATATCTTTTAATTTACTTCATACGTTAAAATAGGATGGCCAAGCAAATTCCTTTTTTTTTTTTCAACACTACAGAAATAATTTCATCTTGATAAGCTATCGGTTTTTAGACAGCAACAAAATAAAAAACAATCTGTTTACAGACAGCAACAATAAATTGAGTGATGGCTCACTCCATGGCTAAATGAAATAATGAAACTGAATTCTTCTGACTTCAATCTTGAACAACATCTGTTATGACAGGTGTAATACAATCTCCATTGGTCAATGACTTCAGGGCTACTGTAACCTAAATCAGAATAAAGAAGGAAAATTGACCTCCGCCAACTGCAACAACCACCATATTGTATAGGTTGTTACGACACAGAGGAATCACATCGCCATTGGTCAATGACATTCTGGGCTATCGCAACTTAAATAGGAATATAGGAGGAAAAATTGACCTCCGCCAACGAAAGCCTTATTAAACAGAATCTGTCATGTACCTGAAGTTAGCAAATACTGCAGTGCTTGTTTTGAGGTCAATGACTTACGGCTATCGTAACTTAACGAATAAAGAAACAGAACTGACCTCCCGACAACTACAACATATTATAGAACAGTATCTGTTACGACAGAGACGGATCACAACTCAATTGGTCAATGACTTACGGCTATCGTAACTTAAGGAATAAAGAAACAGAACTGACCTCCCGACAACTACAACATATTATAGAACAGTATCTGTTATGACAGAGAGGGATCACAACTCAATTGGTCAATGACTTACGGCTATCGTAACTTAACGAATAAAGAAGCGGAATTGACCTCCCGACAACTACAACATATTATAGAACAGTATCTGTTACGACAGAGAGGGATCACAACTCAATTGGTCAATGACTTACGGCTATCGTAACTTAACGAATAAGGAAACAGAACTGACCTCCCGACAACTACAACATATTATAGAACAGTATCTGTTACGACAGAGACGGATCACAACTCAATTGGTCAATGACTTACAGCTATCGTAACTTAACGAATAAAGAAGCGGAATTGACCTCCTGACAACTACAACATATAGAACAGTATCTGTTATGACAGAGACCGATGCTTAAATTACCGACCTACTATGACGAAAAACATCTTTTATCATAATGGAATGTTATATGGAAGACATTGGCTCTGGTCATCAAATTCATGAAGGACTTAAAATAACCAATGGAGCTCAAATTAATCTAAACTCTTCTTCCTTATTCATCTAGAACAGCAT